GATGACTTTTCGCTACAAAAGGTTCCTAAATAACTTTAGAGTCACTCTCCTAGACATCAGTGTATAACAGGTAATGGCAGATATAACGAAAAACAAACTTATATTGTTTAGCCACATTATCTACCTAACTACCAGTGGCTTAGCAACTTTGTGATTCTTATTGATCCAAGTGCGAGTCCTTAGCTTTGGGTAGTAATGCCTCTACTACCATTCACACCTACTCATACTTGTCCCAAAAATTGTTTCGTAGTTTCCGAGTCACTTCCAATACCACACCTGATGACCACTAAACATATATATATATATATATATATATATATATATATATATATATATATATATATATATATGTGTGTGTGTGTGTGTGTGTGTGTGTGTGTATGTGTGTCTGTGTGTATGTATGTATGTGTCCCATGAGCACATACAACAAGTTTTCCTAGACTCCAAGACTCCATTAGGACTTTGCATCTTTACTAATTTCCTATCTTACAAATATATGCCTTATCAAGCATATATTACACTTCCTAGATTCTCCTTATGGGATTCCTTTCCACTTTTACCCTACGATTAGTTGAGGAAGGACTTCTACTAATATTAACTAATTATCGGATGAATACAATTAAATGCCGCTAAAATCAAATAGACTGTCGAATGAAAGATCCGAAACTACAACGGTTGGACTCAAATGAGAGCTGCGAAATAGCGCCAAATCAAGCAATCTAACAATATTTAATTATGGGAGCATGCAACCTAATGTGTTTGTTAAATAACTAATTAATATCAATATAGGTTCTAACCAGCAAATAACAAACAATTTATAGGGTATAAGGCATCTTAAGTATCAGGTAATTCTATCACGTAATTCCTGAAAGATCCTTAGCCTACCTACTAGAATGCATTTATAACAGTTCACATATCAACAATCATAACAAATATGTATATTTTGGGAATCACTTTCATTTTTGTGTTTTGGCTGACTGTGCGCATCACATTCATTTCTTTTGAATAAAGTTATTTTTCTTAAAAAGATTTGTTAAGATATTCAGATCCTTGGTTTGAGTCTGGAATCATATAAATGTTCATCCAATTCTCCCAAACCAGGGCTCTGATACCAACTTGTAATCTCCCGAATTCTCAACCCAAAATTTTCATTTTTATACATTTAAATATATCAGAGTATAATTACATTATGTGGAAACATGTTATGAATGCGAGTGTGTACAATTGAACCATGCCCTTCTCACAAATCAATGAAGTACCTAAAAAACATTTATATTCAACTTAGTAAGCATGAAACTTAGTGAGCTCCCCAAAATACCATATACCACAATACAAATACAATGCTTACACATAATGGCTTTCGGCATAAAGATGGCCCGCCCTTAGCCTTCAGCACGGAGTTGGTCCGCCCTTTTGCCTTCAACATAAAGTTGGTCCGCTACTTTGGCCTTTAGCATAAGGCTAGTCCGCCCAAGTCTATTGGCCTTTAGAATAAAGTTGGGCCGCCCTTAACGCCACACGTAATATATCCAGACACACACACACACATACACACAAACACACACACACACACACACACACATATATATATATATATATATATATATATATACACACACACACATAACAGACAAACAATTCAACACGACAGGCAACTAACTAAACTAGTCTATTGGCCTAATTTCATACTATAGAGAAACTATATCCTAATATACAGAGGATATATACTGAAGCACATAATATAGTGAGAAAACTCACCTAGATTATTTACTTAGGCGATTGACAACTATCTGGGTGATTCGACTGGCGATCCAACTGGTTGGTAACGCGCCTACAAGTATTTACCAATAATACTATGACTTATTAGTTCCTATGGCAATTTGGTCATGAAAGCTAGCTCTTTCATTAATCCCAATGAATACTGAGAGTTTAGTCAACTAAGGATCACCCAAGCAGGACCATTTCGACATATAGCCTTTCTGAAATCCAACAACCAAGCCAACATGACCATTCTAGACATCTCTCTCGTAAGTAGATCAATCAACATTATGACCGGAATCACTTATAAATCTTATTTATACATTCGTAACGACGACTATGAATATAAATATATGTTACACTTAAAGCGACATAAGTGTAGCTTAACTTACAAAGATTTTCCTGACAAAAGTCCGGTAAGTTGCGAACAGAACTCTGACCCAAATAATTCTATTTATCGAGTTCTCAAAGACTCCAAAGCTCACCAACATATTCTAGACACTAAAATTTTCGAGCCAAAAGCCAGGAAATGAGAGAGAAAGAGAAAGAGAGAGAGAGAGAGAGTGAGTGAATGAGTGTGTGTGTGTGTGTGTATGGAGGATGTGGAGAAGTGAATGGGGATGAAATTCTATTTATAGGTGGATTTTGGGGGTGTACGCCGAACGCTTAAGGCGACGTCTCCCTAAGCATTTTTGTGTCACGTGTCGTCTTCTCTGTAGTCTGCGTTGCCACCTTTTAGAAGCACGCACCGCACTCACATTTTCATGATTACTAAAACTTACGTTTAGATCACTAAGGATAATAAGTAATCTATCTCTGATTCGTATTTTACGATACACATAGTCGTGTCGGTTTAATCGCGAAACTTCGAAGGAGCATAACTTCTTCATGCAAAGTCGAATTCAGGATTTCTATATATATATACGGAAATCGTATTGACGTTTTCTACATGTTTATGACAATTACTTTGGCTAAAAAGTAATATATCTCTACTTATAATTTTATAAACGACAGTTTGTATTGAATTCTATTGGAATGCGAAAATGGGGTGTTACAACATGATACCATTTTCTCCTAATCATACATACATATTCATACATAGGAATATAATGCATATAATGCTACTCTTTCTTCATCTATATCTTGTAGGTATTACTCATAATACCATTCATATCTACTCATGCATACATAATAATCTATAAGGTTATAAATCATATAACCAATTTTTACCTTCATCTAATAACATGTGGGCATATAACAAAATACGACTACATCTAAACACACACACACACACACACATATATATATATATATATATATATATATATATATATTCATACATAAGAAAAAAAAGCATATAAACATTATCTAGTGAGAGAGTGAGAGTTATCACTCACCTTGTTAGTTAGTGAAGAGTAACTACCCTTTTTTCTCTAAATTTTCCATTAATGCATCTTGATCCATATTCTTTGTTCAAGACCTATTCATACAACACAACAAGTTCCTTAGAACTTGCCTTAGCGTATTAAGAGCTTAATCCCTCTCTTATGTCAAAATGACCACTGAAGGGATCAACATTCTAACCTCTCATCTTCTACTTCTAAATCTATTCCAACCATTGAAATAAGCATCCCATAAGACCTAATTCATTACACTCTAATCTCTAATAACTCAAGAACACACAGTCCAGGCACTCAATTTTTAGGTTTGTTTTACAAAATAAACACCCACACTCATGAATCTAAAATCGTCTTCGACACTAAAAAACCCAGAAATCAAATATGAAATCATTGTGCTTCAAACCATTTCTGAAAACAAAATAAAACCCTATAAAATCGAGGGTAGGAGGTAGCCGAAGGATGATGGAGTTTGATTGAAGTGGAGGTAGTGATGATGAGGATGGTGTGGCAGACAGATCTAATCAGATCTGTGATAGAGAGGGATAAAGAAGTGGCAGCGATCTATCAATGGTGGTGGTAGAAAATGCCATGTATGTCTCCGTTGTTGTTTCAACTTCTCCTCACTGGTACTTATGAGCAAGAAGCGTGCTCCGATCTGATTGTCTTGACCGAATTGTGTTTGTAATGATCAGGGGAAGCAGGTAAAGCAAAGTGATAGATCTGATCGACTTCAAGTAATAAGGGCTCAATCTTTAACCCTTTTCTTTTCATCCCTAAAGGAATCTTCCAGCCATATTCAACGATGACTCGAATCCAATAGGAAAAACAGATCGTCTCCTCACTGGTCCATGTAGCTACCTGGACAGTTCTGGAAATCAGCATATAGATTCCTCCATGATCATGAGATGAGATCGAACCACAAATCTAGTTGCAGAAAAGAGAAGATGAGGTTATCCAATGGTTGGAATCAAAACCAGAAGGATCTACATCTCGTTTGGGAGTGAGGTTGGACCTTCAATCGAAGAGTACAAAGAACTAAGGAAAGCTTTGTAAGAATCGGAACAATCTTTTACCTGGTTCATCCAACCCGATTCAGGTAAATTCGGAAATATCAAAGAACTAGCGAAAGCTTTAGACATGATCTATTTGGGAACATGGGTTTAATAATCTGGGCACCATAACTGTTGATTCTGGATGGGTGGAGAGTGCAAGTGAGGAACAACAAGAAGAAGAAGAATGGGTGAGGGAAGTGGGGGGTTTTTTTTTTTTTTTGTTCTGATATATATATATATATATATATATATATATATATATATATATATATATATATATATATATATATATATATAGAGAGAGAGAGAGAGAGAGGAGCCCTTTGTATATTTATTAATTATAAAATATTTAAGAAAAAAAAGAAAAATGAAAAATAAATATACTAAGGGTATAATAGTATTTTCAGTTTTTTGAAGGATCAAAAACGCAACGAAACTAGCTCAAAAGGACCACGAAGACAAAAAAATCAAGGTTTGAACTAAACCTCAAAAAAATGCATACCACAAGGACCATTTTTGCAGTTTTGTCAAAACCATTTTATGTAGCGTAGAGGCCATTCGTGCAAGTTTTAGAAATGATAGGGATCATTATGCAAGTTTAGAAACCACAAGGAGCATTCTTATAAAGAAAATTAGCACGGATTGAACTTGTGACATTTGATAAACTACAGGACCATTTATGTAATTTTGTCTACGTATGTTTATGTGTGTACGTGATTGTTATCCGATGTACTATAAATCAAAAGTTTAATAATACAAATAAAGTTTTTGATCTACATCCAACATCATATAACTCGAATAATAATCTGGATTCAACATAATTTATTGCAAACTATAGAAACAACATAATCAAATCGAAAAAAGATCGAAGATTGGATTTATTCAAAGCAAAAATCACAAACCCATCATACATGATACAACATACATATGATAACACCAACCTAAACCACCGCCCTTCCATCTTTCAAGGCAATGTATAAACTGCAATGAAAAACGTAGAGATTGGTCAAATAAACAAACCAACTAATTAAAACCAATTAAGGGAAGTGACGTGATTAATTAATTAAACAAACCAACCTCCACATTGATAACCAACAGGCTGATCAGCAATATTGCATCGTTTAGGAATGGTCAGGGCGATCTCTGGGTTAATCCCCGAAGATTTGACAGTATTAGACAGCATTACTGCACAAAGGCATGCAGGGTTTTTCACCAGGTTCAGCGCTTGAGAGCAGCAACTCCCAGAAACTGAAGCGTTCTCATCTTGTACAGCCGATGAACAAGGTATGAGCGTCAATGCTTCCATGTCAGGGCTTACGTTGCCACATTCACTAGCTCCATCTACCTCACTCCATGCAGACATCACAAGAACAACGAAGTATACCAGTTTCACTGAAGCTGCCATTTTAGAATGGGAAGCAGTTGTAGATTCGTTGGGTTTTATAGCTATCAAGAAAACATTGGTGGGATTATGGTAACAAGATAGAAGAATCTTTAAATGTTAGCATGCATGGTTCGTTGAGAAGTATAGAAGTAATATTGGATCTACATATTGTTGGTTATTGATTACCACACCACGAGATGCACACTACAAAGTACAAATTATATTAATTGATTATAAATGATGGTTTTTCTATCCTGTAAGATGATACTGTACGAGTTTCGTTGCTCCAAAAAAAAAAAAAAATTTTATTAGACGGGTTCAACTATATTTTGCTTAATGTAATTTAATCTCTTCGAAAAAAAATTGGTTGATTTGTGTCACCAATATTATTTAATTGTAATGAATGGAATTATCGACCGATGTAATCTTAATAAATATTGAACAAATAAGGGTGGTACGGGCATGGATGGATCTAGATTTTTGATGTATTGGGGGCAGGGGCGGATCTATAGTGGTACCCGATGTTGCACTGACAATAATTATTTTTCTTGTACGCAGTGGGAAATTTTTTGATTTTTTGATTTTTTTTTACCTATTTTTCATGCACCAGCAACATCTACTTCAACTCAGCACAACACTGAGTATGAATTCCTACGTCCGTCGCAGATTGGGGGCACACAAATAATATCAAATAGTTTTATTTTTTGGGCCGGTTCAAAACGATTTTAAATACTTGTAACAAAGTTAAAGTACAAAAAATAATGTTCAAATAACGAATAATAAATAAAACCAAACGATTGAAAATTAATTTAACTATCTAATATAAAAATTGTAACACTCGGTTTTGGATTTGTTTCGTTGCTCGGGGCTACAACCCAACCATCAGTTGTCATAAGGCTTAGAGCCTTGGGAAAGGAAGGATTTGGCCCAATTCGGTTGTGGGTGTCATAGTATAAGTGATCCAAGTGTTCGATTGTGTCTTCGGAGGCCAAGGGTATAATCGTAATTGGATATCTCGATCTTTTATGGATTTTGGGTTTTGTTCGAGAGTTTTTAAGGTCTGGGTGTGTTGTTAGGAGCGTAGGGCTTCTCGTCACCTTTTTGTGGATATAAGGTTTGTTGGAAACGGACTTAGGATGAGGGAGTTATGACATTTTGAAGTTATTGGCAGAATTGGCCCCTGGATGGAAAAGCTTGCACTCCGGCCCCATGCATGCAAGGGGGCATGCACGTGTTTGGATGGGTACGCCCAACGTATAAGGTTAAGTGGTCGCGGGTGGTTTGTCAGTACGCCGGGCGTACTAAGGGTACGCGGGGCGTACTCCTTTCAGAGCAAAACCCTAATTTCGGGCTTCCTACCCTATAAAAGCAACATTATACCACCCCTTTGGTCATTTTTAGTCAGCCACCACCCCTTTTGACGTTCATGGAACCCTAGAGTGCTTTAAGTGACGCTTGGAGCCTGAGAGAATATTCTTGGTGGTTTGTACAAGAGAAGAAGAAGGTGAAAGACTCAACCTCTGGAGAAGAGCCTAGAGATCCAGTGTAGGCATCTCCATTTCGAGACTTTTGAGGTATAAAGTCTCTATCTTGGCTATTCATTGTATAGATCTACTTTGGGCTGTTTTTTTTTTCCATTTTAGTCCCTTTTGCTTGGTCTTGGTGAGCTAAGGTTATTTTAGGAACTCAATCTAGTAGATCTGGACGTTGTAAGGGTCCCTCATTCATAAAGGTGAAAGCTTTGTGGAGTTTTTGAGTTCAAGCATGAGTTAAGACCATCCATTGAGCTCTAGAGTCCCACTAAACCATGCATGCTAGTAAAGTTGCCAACTTTACTTGAAAAGTCATCCATAGGAATTAGACCGGAGAGTTTGGAGCAAGGGCTGAGGTGATTAAGTGCTTAAAGGAGAAGTTTGGAGTCCAAGGGAGTACGCTAGGCGTACCCACCTGGTACGCTACGCGTACTGGCCCCAAAGGGTGTACGTTGGGCGTAACAGATGAGTACGCAGGGCGTACTCGGCCTGGTTGACCCTTCTTGTTTTGTTGACTTTTGGGCTTTGGACCATGGACCAGGAGTTAGTTAGGGTTGACCATTCAGTATTTCAGGCCTTTTTGGATATTGGGCCTTCTCAGGATATGTCCATGATGGATTTGGGCCTAATTGGAGTAATTGGGCCTGGTGGTGTCATTTCGAGTCTGGACTATCATTTGGGCTTGTATTGTTTGAGGTCTAGTTGGGCTAGCTATGATTATGTGTTGTGGTTTAGAAAAAGTAAATGGGCTTTAAGAAAAGGCCCATGTAAGGGTTTGGGCCCAATTTGGAAAATTGGGCCATTAGTGGACTTTTATGGATCTTAGAGTTTTGGGCTTGTTTGGTTTTGGGCTTGGGCCTTAGTTTTGAGTCTTGTTGGGCCAGGGGTAAAATGGTCATTTTACCCCAAGTTTGGATTATGGATCATGGTTTGGAACCCAATTTCTAATTGGGTGATATTTTGGTATTGTTAGCTCAGGAAGTTGTTAGGGCAGCAACTAAGGGTTTCTTGTAGTGAGCTTCAGCATTCGAGGCGAGGCTCCTCATTGTTCTATGGGTCCAAGGCACCAATGCCGGCCCATTTGGTTTATGTATTGTAGGAAGACATGGGGGTTAGCCATTGGCATTATGTATGAAAGACCAGGAGGCGGCTCCTGGCACACTGTATGCAAGCCCAGAGTCTGAACTCTGGCAATTATTAGTTAAGTAGTTGTAGATTATATTGTATGCTAGTTTTCTTCGTGATGCATGCATGGAAGACTAGGAGGTGGCTCCTGACACTTGTCTATAAGACCCAGGGTTGTGGCCCCTAGCCTGGCAAGAAAGATCACCAGGTGGCTCGTGGCATAATGGCAAGACTATCGTTGGCACATAACACTCTTATTGATTATGGTATATGGATGATATGTATGGCTCACGGTTATGTATGCCATGTATGGCTCGTTGATATGTATGGTATATGGTATTTGGGGAACTCAATAAGCTTTGTGCTTATGGTTTTCAGTTTATGTTTCAGTTACTCCAGTTTTCAAATGAAAGAGCTCGGGACGATCGCAGCGCATACACCCGTGTTTTCCACAATATGTGATTTTGGGATTCAACTCTGATAATTGTTTTACTTAAGAGATGTTTTTAAATGTTTGGATCAAGTTACATCTATGTTTTGATTATAATAAAAATGAAATTTTTATCCTTGATTTATGGGACGTTACAAAAATAACAAATAATCAACTAACTTTTGTTAAAAAACTAAACAAATTTAACTATCTAATCTAAACAAATAAAAAAAATTCACAAATCATCAATTTTACTCTATTCCAAATAAAGATTGAAAAAATGGTATACTCAAAGCTAAAAATTAGATTAAGAATTTACCTATTTAAGGAAGAACCAAGATTATAAGAAAAATGTTAGAAAGTTATTGGGAATTCTTGTCTACTTGTCTTGTAAATTAATGCGATTTTTGGAGTAAATCTTTGTGGGACATGATGTAAAAGAGATCGAAAGAAGAGAAAGCAGATGAAGTCATGAAGACGAACCATGCATAATTGTTATTTTTTTTAATTTTGCTTAGAAGTTACAAGACCACAACGACACAACCAGAGAATCAGAGTTGATCTCCACATCCGTCCCATATTTATTGTCCACTTTTGAATTTTAAAGTCTTTATTCTTCAACTTTGACTTTAAATATTTTTAATTTTATTATAAATTACTTGATGAAACTTATAACAATGAAAAAACAATTCATTCATACATTTTGCATCAATTATTATATATCAAAAACAAAAATATTTAAGGTCAAAGTTGAAGAATAAAAACTTTAAAAATCAAAAGTAGACAATAAATTTGAGACGGAGGTAGTATATATTTTGTATTGGGGGCACATGCCACCCTATGGCCTCTCTAAATCCTCCCCCTTGGTGCAAAGTGTGTATTTGTTTAAGTTTATTCTAATTTAAAGTATATCGATACTTAGGAGCGAAACCCCTGAACAACGGGGGTTCAGGGGTAGCACCCCTTGTAGCGGGATCCAAGAGTATCACCCTTGGCTAGGGTCGAAACACCCAAGATTTCTAAAAAAAATCATAGGGTAAATTACATGGATAGTCCTTATGGTTTCGGGTAATTTGCGTGTTTGGTCCCTAACAACTTTTTTTAAATCGGACCGTCCCTAATTTATTTTTTTGTTGCACGCTTGGTCCCTGTCCGCTATAAAAAGACTATTTTACCCTTAATATGTTATTCATTTTTTCATTTATTTATTCTTTTACCTTTTATATTAAAATATATTAAAAAAAGAAAAAAAAATTAAAAGAATCCTTAACATCCTAAGAAACGCCTCCAACCTATTAGACAACATTAAGTCTCTTGTACATCTTCTATTTTGTGTGTATGTAATTGTATGTTTTCTAATTCTTTGAGGATGTATCTTGTAAATTCTTTTTGTATAAATCTATTGTCTCTCCACCTTATTTGGTGTGACGAGTTATATTCTCATGGTATCAGAGCACAGGTCGGCTCCCCCTCTTCCCTAATCAATCCATCCGTATCTCTTCTTCTTCCCTCTATTACTTCTTGTTTCCTCTTTCTTCTTCATCTATGGCTTCCTCTTCTCAAGATTCTACCCTCCCAATGAACACCATCCTTCATCTTATCACCAATCGATTATCCTCCTCTAATTATCTTCTCTAGAAAAACCAAATGATCCATCTTCTCACATATCAAAATCTTGTGGGGCATGTCGATGGAACTCTCTCCAAACCAGCCCCTGAAATTATTGTTGATGGCAAATTTGTACCAAATCCGGCTTGTTCTTCTTGGGTCTTGGCTGATCAGAGAGCAATTATTCTCCTTCAAGCCTCTCTTACATAGGAAGCATTCTCAGAAATTGTTGGCTTATCTACTGCCTATCAGATTTGGACATCACTTGAACATGCTTACAACAATTTCTCAATTGAGTGTGTTCAAGCATTGCGTGATCAGCTTCGCCAAAACTCCAAAGGTTCGTCTACTGTTGCCGATTTT